CTTATAATCTGGGGGCAATAATGTGTTGCTAGATACCGCTTATTGCTTATAGTTTGGTGCAGAGCCAATACTGTGGCCAGCTTTATAAGTGCCTATACGGGTCACACACTTTGAACAATTTAAGGAGTAGGATTAAACAATGGGATAATAAGTAATTTGTATATTTGTAAAATAGTAAAATAAAATATTTTGGAATATAATATTATATATGTAAAACATTCGGTGGTATATTTATATATATAAATATCGAAATATATATATATATATATATATATATATTATGTTGAATATTTTATTTTGGTTTGTCATTTTAATTATGAAAATAATTATTTTGACATAAACTATTTAAAGTATATTTGTATACTTGTTTAAAAATGATATGGGTATTTTATTTGATTTAAAATTAATTTTATATTAATTTTTGGTGTCAAATAAAATACACTTTGAACATTTGAGTGGAGAAGAATTTTGAAAATCCTTCTCATATCATTCATTCGGCCATATGATAAAATGGATTGACAAATTGCTAATGTTTTGCTTGATTGATAAATTAGTGGACTAATTAATTCTGTCATTTAGCTAATGACAAAAATAATGGAGCATCTTTGTTTTATTTAAACAATTCACTCCATTTTGTAAAAAGGAGTTTTTATGATTTTCGGCCATTTGAGATTCTAGTGAGAGAAAATTATTTTAAGTCTTCCATTAATATCATATTGTGTATACAAAATATCTATAATATTTTATAAATATTATTAGATATATTTTCTATAGAAATATACAAGATTATTATTATCCCAAATTTTAATCTTTATATAATCTTTACTAGCATAAAGATTGTGGTAGACTCCGGCGTTGTTCGTGTGTCAATGTTGGAGACCGGACGCTTGAACGGTTACGTTTGCACTTTCAACGCTCTTCCTACGACCTCTTCGTTTTTACCGCTTACGGAGAAAGGTATAAATTTCTTATTTACTATAACTTTTAGTACGTGATTCTGGGCAAGATAATCATGTTAGGATGTTAAAAGTTTTGTATTCCGCTGCCTATCCTTGCATGGTTACGTTTCAGTGGTATCAGAGCCAACGTACAAAACTATAGTTTTACGTTTGACTTTTAAAATTTTAAAAGTCAAAGTTTTAACTTGGTAATTATTAAAATTCAAAAATTGGTAAAATGATTTTATTTAGTCTTGAAATAAGTATTGGACTTAAATAAATCATTGAAAATGAATTTTAAATTTATTTATTTTATTTCTACCCGTAATATATATATAAATATATATATTTTGATTTTTCGAAATATATATTTATATATATTGTAGAAATAGTAAATATAATTTTATTTGGACATAAAACATCATTTTATGATTGATAAAATTATATTGTAATTTTTGAATG